TCATTACCTTCCCAGGACAGCCAATCACAGTCTTCTTACCTCAACTGAAGCAGTTTAATGAGGGTGCAATTTCTTTCATTCTATAATGAAATATAATTTAGAACAAGTTTACTTTCTGGATAAAGAAGTTTTTTGGGTTTTGGTAGGAATTTTGTAAGCATTGCATGTTTTCTTCCCTGCTTGCAAAATACATAATTTATCTTTTGTGAATAGAACATCCAGGTCTTAAATGTATTTACCTTCAGAACAATGGATTAGCTACAGTTGGTTAAATCCATTTGTTTCCTACAAGAAAGGAAAAATGAGTAATTATATGGTGAGTATTGTGTGGTCTTCAGGCCTATAAAGGAGATCTGATGAAGAGTGTCCCATAACAATGGTGCCATATACTGATATAAGAAAGAGTAGTAGAAGACAAGACTTGGCAAGAGAAATCAAGAGTTTTGACTTTTTAAAAAAAATTTGATAGGTCTACTAGATATACAAGTGGAGATGCCAAGTAGGCAGTTGGTGATGGAAGCCAGGAGTCCAGGGCTAAAGATATAAGTTTGAAAACCATTAGCATATAAACAGTATTAAAGCAATAGGAATGGTTGATATCAGATAAGAACACATAGATGGAGAAGTGAAAGGGACCCATGTCTGAGCCTTAGCTTCAGTCTTTTCCTGCAGAGGAGAAAGAGGTTTAGCAAAGGAGAATGAGAAGCAGCTAGGAAGGAAGGAGGAAAACTAGGGGGATGTAGTGTCAGAAAAGCCAGGAGAAGAGAATGTGGTACTGATTAGAAATATGGAGAAGGCTTAAAAGATTAGAGATACAAGTATCAGGAAGTCTACATCTTATTACCTGATGTATAGTGAAATATAAGCATAGTTTTTCCTCATAAGCCATTTTCTTACTTGCCTCTTAGATATCCATAGGCATGCTCCTAGTTTTTGTTTTAACTGTGATCTTCCCCAGTGCAGTCCAGCCTCAGAGTAGATTCTGGTAGATTTCTTGCTCTAGATGGATTAGCAGTCCTTTCCATGACATATCCCCTAATTTTCTGGCTGGTTTTGGGCACCCCAGATGTTGAAAGTATTTCTCTATCTGCCCTGGCCTCAAAGATTATTCCTTATCCCCCTCTGAAGGACTTTGGAAGTCTTACTTTCTTTCTTTTTCTTTTTTTAATCCCCTTGATAAGGAAGGCACTCTCTTACCTACCCAGTGAGATTACCTCTGAGCTTTAGGCCATCTCCCATGGACATGGCAGGAACCCTCTATGTTTCTTTTCTTTGAGGCTTCATGACTCTCTTTCTTGAAGCCCTTTCTTCTTCCTGATTAAGTTTTCTCTGTTTTGTCCTATTCCACTTTCAGGTAACGTAGTTAATAGCCAATATTTGAGATTAATCCAACATTGATGAATTTTGTTTTCCTCTTCTATTGTTTGCAGCCATTATTTTAGGTTTTCCCAACTCCAACTCCCTCAACCCTTCCCTTTGAATTTTGAGATCTTGAGAGCTGATCTCTGTCACATAGTCTTCAGTATACGGGCTCCCTCTGACTGCCCTGGGATGTTTAAAATTTTGTGCTTGACTTAAAAATTGATTTAAAATTTTAGGAGAATTTGATTGGTTTAAAAATCACAAAACAATACTCTATTAGTGTAACTATTTAAATAATTCAGAGATATGTAGAAGAAATCATGTGATACAAAAGTTAGGGGTATGTCACAGAGGAGATAGATAAAGGGTTGTCTAAGGCAATGGCAAAGGGAAGTCCCAAGACCATTGCTGTTCATCAGGCATAGGAAGTAACCAGCTCAGGATGGAATAAGAGGTCAGATGCTCTAGTAGGGATATCTTTAGAAGAAAATAAAACTAATAAGTTATTTGACAGACTTAACCAGTGGCCCACTTCAGTTGAGGAGCTACAGAGCACCCCAGCATCCCTCCTGGGGGTGCAGGGTCCTGCCTATGGCCCCAATGACCCTACCCAGTGTCACCCACTTCAAATGAGGAGCTGCTGAGCACCTTGGTGTCTCTTTTGAAGTCCAGACTCCTGGTTGTGGCCCCAGCAGTCCTGCCTAGGGTTGGCCATTTAAGCTGAGGAGCTACAGAATACCCCAGTGCTTCTCTGAGGGGCACAGGATCCTGGCCATGGCACTAGTGAGCCCATCCAGGGTTGTCCATTCCAGCTGAGGAGCTTCAGAGCACCCTAATATGACCCCAGTGACCTCACCCAGTGTCACCTATTTCTGCTGAGGAGCTACAGAATGCCCAGCATCTCTACAGGGAACCCCAGGCCACAGCCACAGCCCCAGCACCCTCCTCCCAGGTTGACCATTCCAACTGAGGAGCTGCAGAGTGCCTCAGTGCTTCTCCCAGGGGTCCGCAGGCCTGCTCATTACCCTGGTGATCCTGTCCACTTTAGTGGAGGAACAGCTGATTTCTACAGCAACTCTCCTGGAACCCTGAAGTCATGGTGGTGACCTCAGCAACCCTGTCCAGGGTTGCCCATTTCAGCCAAGGAAGCACTGAGCACACAGCACATCTTCCAGGATCACAAGGTCTTGCTTTCAGCCCAGTAACCCCTCCCAGTGTCACCTGCTCCAGCAAGGAGCTGCCAAGAACCCCAGCACCTAAGCCACAAAAGCACTCATAAACAACTGTGACATTGAATACAGTGGAAGAAATCATGTGAAGACAATACTTATACACTCACCCAGAACCAAAACTAAAACACCTTGCCTAGGGCCACCCCATGGCTCAGTTGGGAGAGTGTGGTGCTGGTAACACCAAGGCCATGGTTTCAGATCCCTATATAGGGATGGCTGGTTTGCTCACTTGGGAGAGCATGGTGCTGACAGCACCAAGTCAAGGGTTAAGATTCCCTTACCAGTCATCTTTAAAAAACAATAAATAAATAAAAAACCACCCTGCCTAACTGACACTATAGAACACATCCACAGAAGAGTCTCTCTCTTCAAAAGCTACTCCAGAAAAGTAGAAGAAGCAATTATTCCACCACATGCCCAGACATCAACATAGGGATATGAGAAACAAAAAACACAAGGAAACATGACATCCCCAAAGGAATGCAATAATTCTCCAGTACCAGACCCCAAAGAAAATGAAATCTATAAAATGCCTAAAAAGGAATTCCAAATAATAATTGTAAGGAAACTCAGTGAGATGCAAGAGAATACAGATAAATATCTTAGTGAAATCAGAAAAATAATTCATGATCTTCAGGTGAAGAAGTTATTATTTTAATATGGAACTATTAATGGTAGTTACCTTGGGAATTTTAGGGGATTTTTGTTCGTGGATATTTGAATTATTTACAATTAGCATTACTTATTATTTTTGTGATTAGAGAAAAACACACTAAAAAAAATTTTTTTTTAAATACATCATATCCACAAAAATCAGAGAATTCTTCCCAGGAGAAGAGAAGCATTACTTTTCATATGGTGTAAAAGAATGGAATTAGAAAACTTGAGCAGAGAAAAGGCAATAAATGACATGGAGGCAGGGTTGGAAGTGTCCTTTCTCCTTTCTTATTGTGCTGAAAGTTTGTGAAATGATTCTGTAAGTTCAGTAGAATGTAATTTAATAGTAATAATAGCATCAGTAATAACACCAACAATTATGACTGACATTTATTGAGCTCTTTTATGTGGTGGGCACTATGCTAAGGGCTTCAGGTGTATTGTCTTATTTAATTTTCACAAAAACCCATTACATATTCATTTGCTTATAAAAATATATTTATTGAACATTTGCAATGTGCTATACCTTGTGCTAGGTGCTAGGATTACAACAATAACAAAATAGTCGTTGTCTCTGCTCATGGAGAGCTTATGGTATACTAGGAGAAATAGACATTAAACAACAAAAATAAATATTTAATGATGTGATAAATGACTTGGAAGGTGTAACAGAAAAAATAAAGGGATGCACTTTAGATGCAGTGGTCTGGGAAGGTCTCTCTTAGAAGGTGATGTGTTTAAGCTGAGACCTAAAAAATAAGGAGGAACCCAGAAGGCAGATGTAAATAACTCTAACATAGAGAACTTTTCCCTCTAATAGAGGAGCTAAAAGTAGGCCAAGAAGGCTGAACAGAGGGCAGGGAGGAAGAAGCTAGTTGAGGCTGGAGAAGGGCCAAACTATCCAGGGCCATGGAGACTGGATTTTATTCTGAGTGCAATGGGAAGCCTGCAGGGTTTTAAGGAGGCAAGTGAGGGATCTGATTCATATTAAAATACTCTGGCTGTATTGTGGAGAATTGATTGGAAGGGAACAAAAGCAAAAGTGGGGAGAGCTTTCCAGAAGTTATTGTGGTATTACAAGTTAGAGGAGGTGATGGTTGAATGGAGAGAAGTGGATAAGTCCAAAATATACTTGGAAATATAGTCCAAAGGGCCTGGTGATAGAGAACATGGAGTCAGAGATGACTTAGATTCTTGGCCTCAGCAATGCAGCTGATGTATTACCATCCCCCTCCTTTTCCAGTATAGGATACTAAAGCTCCAAGAGGCAAGATAATGTGTCCCAAGGGGTATGTCTAGTAAATGATGTGTAAAGGTATGAGTTTGTGCCCATCCAACTCCGGATACTGCACACATAACTAACACACTATACTCTCTTCAACTAGTCACAATCTTACTGCTTTCTAAAAGGAGAGAAGTGGCTGAATTCTGAATGATAATTTGTCAACCATAACTTCATTTGCTTAGTTACCAAAGAGAAAGTCAATATGCAGGGGTGTTGTCTGAAGCATATTTTGGCCTGGAGTGGATTGGAATATATTACTTGGATCACATGATGGAAATGATGATACTCCTTAAGTGTTTGACCTAGGTAAGCAGGTTCCGGTCTGAAGCACTGGAAACGATAATCCTAGATATTTATATTCTGTTGCCTGGCAAAAAAAAACCAAGCTTCCAGCTTTTCATTCTCTCCCATGGGACCAGGAGAAGATGTGTCATTCCTGAATTCCTTTGAGGCCTTCCAGCAACTTACATGACGTTGTCAAGGGCAGTTGCCCGGGGATAAATGGGTTTACTCTACAAGAAAAAGAAGAAAATGAAGTAGGTTAATAGGAACCAGAACCTCATCCCACTCCTCACAGCTACAGAGGGAGGAGAGGAGAGCACTGACAGGCAGATGTAGGGATATTGATAGCCTAAGGCAGGATTAAATTTAAAAACAAGTAGGTTGAAAACTCAGTTATGCATGGTGACCCTAACACAAGATAATTTAGATACATTTTGGTGATGTCCTGAGACTTTCTATATCCTGTTGCTATTTGTGACTCTGTAAAATGGCCCTTTTTCTTTTGCTTTATTTGCAAAACTATGGGTCTGGGGAGAAAGATAAGAATGTAAAAACATGGGGCAATCATGGGCTTACCTCTTTGAAATGATTAACTGTGGAGTAAATTGTGACAGAATCGTCCTTTTTCATACACGTTCGGATCTCCCTGTCCTGTGAAAAAATCATACCCATTTGGCTCACACAGAGACAAGGCAATGTGACAAAAGGGAATATGTCAAAGTTCTTTGGGAGGAAGGCCAGGGAGTGTTTAGCAAGAAGGAACTGGAGAACGAATGCCACCAGCTCTCAGACCTGTGAAGGTTAAGTGCCATATCCTGAGCCCCAAACAGAAGAGCAACACCCCAGCAAATCAGTGGCTCAAGAACCAGAGAAAGGCAGAAAAGTGGCTTTGTTGTGTGAAGGAAAGGAAGCATTCTTGCCCTGCATCCAACTCTACTCTCCTTCCTCCACTTTAAAGAACTAACTTATATACTAGATGGTTATTTTATTATGTCTTTTTTTCTGAGATGTAATTGGAGCTGCCAATTTTACCTGCTCCATTTGTCCCTTTCATTCTAACTGCCAGGTCACCATGTCATTGGAATCACCTCAGGCATGGGGAATTGGTAGAAGAGGAGCACATGGCCTTAAGAATGGCTCTGCCTGGAATATGTGGTACAGTAATAGCAGCAGAAGCCTGTATGTCCCTCAAAGAACCCACTCCGATATTTTTACACTTTAAATTAATTAAGGAATATTTAGAGAATTATCAAGACCTCAAAAACTCTCCGAAGTACATTTTTTCTACTAAAACAAAAGCAACAAGTTTGCTGCAGATTAGTTTCTTGGTTTGTTGGAGTGATTCAGCTTGTCTTCAAGGGGAATTTGGAAAGGTGATAGAAATACCTGTGCAAGTGAGAGCATGCCTTTTTATTCCCTCTTCAAGGAGCCTACTTCTCAAATACCTGTGAGGGGCTATGTGAAGGGAGATTTGCTTGGGGAATCCAAGATTTCTAGTTGGATCCATCATTTGGAGACTACTGAGTTTTCTTTGCTTATTTTTCAGCAGATGTGGTAACTGGCTTCCCAGGACGTATAGTTTTATTCATAAATAGTTTTATTTAGAAACTTGCAGGTGCTTTATTTAGGGTGGTAGGAGTTGCTGATGCATGAGAGAGGAATTCCTGATGATTGAGCAAAGCCATCCTGTTATGTTGCTAGAGTGAAGGGGAGGAGTGAGGGCTGCTCATGGCTTTAGTGTTCCCTATCGTGGAGGGGCTGAAAATTCTTGCCCCTCTTCTGCTCTTGAGAGACCACTTCTGAGCTCCCCTGGTACCCCTGCATCCAGGGTGAGAATCCCCCGGGCCCCCCCACCGCCCTGCCATGGAACTGTCTCCTTTGGAAACCCTCATACTTAATAGAACTCTGAGCCATTCAGAAAGTACTTACTGAGTACTGTGCTGGGATATAAGGGAAGAGAAAGGAAGATATAACTTGCACTTTCAGGCAGCTTGTAATAAAGCTGAAGAGACAAGACTTACTGATGCATTAAACAGTTAGAGAACAGTGTAAAGCTGGGTATGAGTAAACATTCCCTAGGGGCAAGGGTGGCAAACACTAGAATAGTCTTGCCCTTAACTTGGCCCCCCTGTCACAACCTTCTCCCCTCAATGGTGTATGTGATTTGGATTAGACGACTGTGGTGACAGAATTGCGAATAGTGACTGTAAAAATAATGACAACGAGGAAGTGTAAAGCTGGATGGACTCACCTTATTTGGATGAGTGACCCAAGCATACACAGTGTTCTCTGGAGACACTGAAGAGTATTCCACATTCCTCGTGAACTCTGTTGTTAACACAGGAAGGCATAGTCGGTGGAAGAACTACTCTGGGACTGCTCCCCCAGCACCTGGCCTTCACCGCACCACTTTCTGTCCCTAAATAGGCAGTTGTTTGAGGCATTGTCCCTTCCTTAGGGTTCATTCATTTTTGACAGTATTTGGAGTTCTGGGTTGAGCCAGAACCTTCTTAGTCATGCGGTCTGTTTCTGACCTCATCTCTTGGTGTGGTGGGTGGTCTTGAGGTATACCCTAAAGCTCTGGAGTTTCCCTCAGGCTTCACATGTGGGCCAGAAAGCTCCTGGGACCAAACAACACTGCCTACAGAAGAGCTGGCAAGACCTCACTGGCAAGCATGCTGGAGGCAATTATTTCACATATGTGATATTGTTAAACTTTTCAGAGGCCCTTAAGGTGGATTTGATTATTTTAGAGATGAGGAACTGGAGGCTCAGAAAACTCAGTTGACTTTGCAAAGTCACACAGGAAGTGATGGACAGGAACTTGAATGCATATCTTCTGGCTCCAAACCTCATGACCTGTCCTCTACATGTGATGTCATGTATCTCTCACCCGAGAAATGAGACTCAGTGACAATCTGAGTCCACAGCCTGTGTTCACATCTCTATGTCACACATTCTTTTTAGACTGTGTCTCCACTGCCTAAATCCTGGAAGTGATGCAGTCAGGCAGTTTGGTTTTGGGCCCTTGATTCTCAAATTTCTTTCCCTGCCCTGGACTTGCTGGGTGATAATAAATAGGCCGTGAGCCCGTTCACTGGCACTTGGTTTCTCCATCAGCAGGGTGAGGAGTGACCCTGATCTCTCTATGAGAAACTGTGAGAGTGACTGACCCGCATGCTTCTGAGGGACCCTGTAGGTCACACAGTTGTAAATTATCTCCCCTTGCACCACATGATGTGTTCGGGTAATGACATTCTGACTGACTCCTCTCTCATCCAGCCCTCTGGCCAGGCCCCTTTCTCTTGTTCAGCACTTCCCATCTGCTTTTACAGAAGTTAAGAGTCTGGATGCTCACCAGGACCCTGGGTTTGCTGAGTGGACAAGTGAAGAGAGCCTGAAAAATAAAATCAGAAAATTGAAATGTGTGACTGCAGTGAGAGAGGACTTTCACCCTCACTGCGATGGGTGTCTCTCTAGCAAATGTGGTGGGAGGGCCCTGAGGCTGGGTCCTGCCTTTCTCAGTGGACACCTCCCTCAGGACATTAGCAGGTGTGTAGTCACACCCAATGGGCCATCCCAGTGGATAGCAAAGCTAGGTTTTGCACCCCCCTCCCTTCACCTGTCCTCCACGAGAGATCCTTGGGAGTCAGAGGCCCTGACTGTCTATCCCTGCAATCCTTGAGAAGAGACAAGAAGGAAGAAAGAAAACCTGCCTCTTCGCACCCCCCTCCCTTCACCTGTCCTCCACGAGAGATCCTTGGGAGTCAGAGGCCCTGACTGTATATCCCTGCAATCCTTGAGAAGAGACAAGAAGGAAGAAAGAAAACCTGCCTCTTTCCTGTGAAAGACATCCTTTGCCTCAATGTTTCTTTATTTCACCTCTGCTGTATGTAGTGGTCTGTATACTCTCTAAATGACTCTGCTTGTATTGCCTAATTGATGGTAGCAAGGTATAGGGTTACTGAATACTGAAGGACATCAATATGGAACAGAGTAGCCCATGGGAGAAGTGGGAACAGAGAGACTGTTCCTGTTGTGGCCTCCAACTAGTTGGGTAATTTTGGTCTGGTCACTTGACTTTTCTGGGCTCCAGTTTATCCCTGGGGTCCCTTCTAACCCTTGTACACTGCCCCTATGTAAAGACAATTTGGAGACCAAAATGAGGGCCCTGAGGGCTACCTCAGCCAGGTCAGAAACCAGGACAGCAGGCACAAAGAACCCTGTTTCCTTTGTCATCAGAATTCTCTAACCTGGGTGGAAGATGGAAGCTTACCTTCCTTAGAGAATCATATTTCTCACAAATCTGTGAGGAACCTGGTCCTCACTGCATCTGACCCTGGCTGCAATGACGAGAAAGAGACCCAGATGCAGAAAGTCATCAAGACAGAAAGGGAAATATGGGGAAACAAAAAATTAGGGAAGGAAGAGTGAGGAAACTGGGAGAGCCAGGAGGCTGTTCCAGGCAGCGAAGAAGTACAATATATTCATGCATCCAAGATAGCCTGCAGTGCAGAAATTTCTGAGAGCAGAGCACAGAAAATACTGCCTAGGAGGAAGGCAGTATCCGTGAACCAATGAGGACATGAGAGCAAGACAGAAAAAGCCACTGACCTAGCCTTGACCCAAGGGTTGAAGTAAAGGTGATCCAACAGAGAACAGAATGACTACAACTTTGATTAGAAGACACTAAATAATGCTTTAAGCTTAGTTAACTAAGTAGGAGTTGTAGAATATATGCACTTATATCCCAGGACAGTTTTCGTGTATGGGAAGAGGGTTGGATTTGGAGTCAGGAAAACCTGGGTTAGGATCATGGCTTTGTCACTTACTGGCTACATGACCATGAACAGACTATTAATATCTCCAAGTCTCAGTTTCTTTATCTGTAAAAACAGGCAATAATACCTATTTCTGGGATAATTATGAGGATTAAATGAGACAGTGCCTAGCACAGGGGTGGCCAATATTTGTTATCAATGTCACATCTCCCTCATCTCATGTCCACGGCTTATCTCAGAGATGTATCTTTGTACTTTTTTCCACTTAACAAATATATAACTGCCTACCTGACATTTCCACTTGGATATAAATTTATCTCAAACTCAGTATGTTCAAAAGGACTCCTGTTTTTCTCTCTAAAACCTGCTCAACCTGCAGCCTTTCCCACCTTGTTTGATGACAACTACATCCTTCCAGCCACTAAGGCCAAAACCCCTGGGTCATCCCTGACTTATGTCTACATCTCATCCTCCCAAATCAGGAAGTCCTGGTGGCTTTATCTTCAAAATACATTCAGAATCCAACCACTTCTCATCACCTCCACTACTACCACCCTGGTCCAAGCCAGGACCAACTCTTGCTTGGATTACTGCAACGGTTCCCTAATTGGTCCATTGGATTCTACCCTTGTCCCTTAAAGTCTATGCTCAACAGAGCAGCATAGAGATCCTTTAAACAAATAAGTCAAATCATGTTACTTCTTACAAACCCCTCCAATGGCTCTCAATCTCACTGGGAGTAGAAGCCAAAGTCTCTGTGATGGCTCTCAGTACCTTACATGATGTGGCCCCTATTCTCTTTCCGACACCATTTCCTATTTCTCTTCCCCTCACTCTGCCTCTGTATGTTTAGTCTCCTTGTTTTTCCTTGAGCATTCCAGGCACAGGAGTGTCTTGTTGATGTGGCCCCTATTCTCTTTCCGACACCATTTCCTATTTCTCTTCCCCTCACTCTGCCTCCGTATGTTTAGTCTCCTTGTTTTTCCTTGAGCATTCCAGGCACAGGAGTGTCTTGTGACCTATGCTGAATGACTCTTCCTCCAGAGAACTGCAGGACTCTCACCCTCACATCCAAGAGGTCTTGGCTCAAATGTTGTCATCTTTTCAATGAGACCACTCCCTTTAAAGGTGACCCTGCTCCTTGGCACTCCTGGTGCTCCTTATGCTGTTCTAATCTCTTTTTTTTTTCCATAGCACTCATGGCTTTATTACATACTTAAATATTATGTGTATTATTTATTACCTACCCCTACTTCCCATCCACAATGTCAGCTCCATGAGGGCAAGAATCTTTGTTCTGTTCACTGATATATTCCAAGTGCCTAGAACAGTGTCTCATACATTGTCCATGGCCAACAAATATTGTTGACTCGATGAATAAACTTAAGAGGGCTTCAGTATTTTTCTTAACACCAAACTCTAGGCAGTCACTACTAATTAGTTGGGATTGGTCCATAAAATCTAGTCTTTGCCATCCCTATTCTGACACATGCTGAGTGATTGGCCAATGTTAAACAAACAAAACCTATAGAGTTCATACCTTATAATTCTTTTGCCCTATTATAAAAACAAGTTGGCATAACTTACGCATCTCTTTGTGTGTGTACCTTTGAAGGAGAGGCACTTTCCTGAAAAGTCCTTAAAAGGGATTGGCATTGGGTCTCAGGAGTGTGGTTGTTGATGCAGAAGAAGTCGTGCTTGGTCTTCTCAATAGTATCAGAAGAACATTGTCTCCATAAATGTGATGGAGCCTGGTATGGGATCTGTTCTCAGGCTTTCCACTACATGTGGCTCTCTCCTCTCCAGGGTCCTAGCTCTGCCTTGATGATCTCTGGTCACCCAGGGTGATCCTGCTTGTAGACTGTTGAATGATGACCCCCCAGACTCTGAATAGTACATTATTTGGAAAAAGGGTATTTGCAGATGGAATTGAGTTAGGTGAGGAGATCATTTAGGATTATCTGGGTAGGCCCTAAATCCAATGACAAGTATTCTTATAAAAAGAAAGCAAAGGGATATTTGAGACAGACAGAAGAAGAGAAAACACAGAGAAGAGGAGAAGGCAATGTGATCACAGAGGACAGATTGGAATGATGCAGGCTCAAGCCAAAGAGCACCAAGGAATGTAGACAGCAACCAGAAGTGGGAGAGGCAAAGAACAGACTGTCTCCTAGGGCCTCCAGAGGGAGTATTGCCATGTCCACACCTTGATTTTCAGCTTCTGGCCTTCAGGACTGTGAAAGAATAAATTTCTGTTGTTCTAAGCCACCTAGTTTGTGGTATTTTGTTTCAGGATCCTCAGGAATGTAATGCGCTGACCTAGGGCAATTTTACCCCTTTTTGTTTTGAAATCTCCTGTTCAGAACTTCTCCAGACATCCACTCTTTCCCATCAGATTTACCTGTTCTGTATCCTCTTCTTTCAAGGATATGACTTTGACTAAACTAACTAGTAAACCTGTCAAAAATTCAGGGATACTAAAGGTTAACATGAAATTTATTTTTTTTTAATTGAAACATAATTGATTGTACCTATCTGTGGGGTACGGAGTTGAATATCAATACCCGTGTGCAATATGTGATGCTCAAAACAGGATAATTAGCATGCTCAACATTACACAATGTAATCATTTTATTATGGCCCTTTACCAATTTCTTGCTAACTGCCCCTCTCCCCCTTTCCCACCTCTGGTGGCCTCAGTTCTGTTCTCTCCTTTTGAAAGTTCAACAAATTATTGTGATCATTGTATCTTTCTCTTTTTATTTATTTGTTTACTGTTTTAGCTCCCACTTAGAGTGAGGACATGCAGTATTTCTCTTTCTGTGTCTGCCTTATTTCACTTATTGTGTAATCTATTTGTGGAGGCATTTTACTGCAACAGTGTTTTTGTGGATACCATGTCTTAACCCAGAGGACTCCTGAATCTCCTGTACAACATCCCTGCTAAATGATTATCCTAAAGCTATTCATGGCATCTCTAAACATCATTGATTGCTAGAAAGATTTTTTAATATTGATTCATAAGGTATCTCATTATAGTTTCCACAATTTTATGTTGAGAACATTTTCATTCTTTCATCTTGGGGAGGCAGATTTTTGACTAATGGTCAACATGAGCTGTCTGGGGAAAATATTGTCAGAAATTAAATAACCTTGATGGAAAATTCATTTCTCTTTATCTGCTCATCTTTACAGAGTCCACTCTAGCTAGACCACTGTTTTGTACAGGGACTGCTCCATCAGGTCAGACTATCCCTTGTGCAGTGAGGTATCATGGCAGGGCGGTTATGTGGGAAGCGCTGCCACTTACTATCTCTCTGAGGCTATGCTTCAGGGGCAAGGATTGTACCTACCTCATGGAGACTTTGTGAAGATTACATGACAGATACATGCAATGCACATGGTAACAGTATCATAAATATTTCACTTCCATTACTTCTGCTACATTTCTGGCTGAAAGGGACCATTTTATTGGGTAGAATGAGGTGATTCTGGGTTGGGAGTCACAGACTTAGGTTCTATTCTCAGCTGTGTCACTAACTTGTTGTCAGTGTCATTAAATTGCTTTAATGTTGGACCTCTTTCTGACTCCAAACACCATACCGTTTACCACTAGGCTGTAATGTGCTTTTGCAGTCACATAGGATTGAAATACATAATTTTTGTTTGTTTGTTTCCTTTTTGAGACCGGCCGCACCGTGCTCAGCCAGTGAGCGCTGTGAGTGCACTGGTCGTCCCTATATAGGATCCGAACCCGCGGCGGGAGCGCTGCTGCGTTCCCAGCGCCGCACTCTCCCGAGTGCACCACGGGCTCGGCCCGAAATACATAATTTTTTAAAAAGTCCGCACATAATTAAACCTCACTCACTGAAGATCTTCAGAATGTAAGTGGAGAGCAATGTAGAGGTCTCTGTGGTTATCTGGGCATCATAGGATCCTGTGTCTGCCATTGTCAGGTTGCTGAGCTGCAAGGAGTAAGACTGGGTGAAGTTCATTCGTTCTCTCCTCTTTGGATCAGTCACCTGAATTAGTGGACTTCCTGCTCCACTTGCCTTTATGAAGGCAATAGACTTTCCATTGTAAAGCCAAGTAATGGCCTCAACCATCTCTTTTGCAGGAAACTTCGGGTGAAGAGTTACTGACTCCCCCAGAACACCGTTCACTATCAGTGGGGTTGAGCTGTTTTGTGAAACTGCATTCCCTGTAAACACACAGAAGAAAAAGGCTATAAAATTGTCCCTGACAGCAGCCCCCTGACTCCTGCATCCTTTCCCCTTAACTCTGCCAGTCTGTTAGACCTCTCTGGCTTCAGGAGCCCAGAAATATGAAGGAGAGGAAAAGGGTTAGGAGAAGTGTTAAAAAGGACAATCACATGCCCAGCAGCTCCATCTCCAACAAAATGTCTGGCAGTCTTGGTTAATGGGCAGTTGGCCCAGATGATCTTGCCCCAATGCCCCTTCCCACACTGGATGATATCTCCTGGGTCATGACCACACTTTGTGGCCCCAGCCTCTGAACTCTTTGGCCATTAGGTGGAAAAGAACAGGAAACTACATCAACTCCCTGGCATAGACTCCAAAAACTGCAAGTCTTTGCAGATGAAGTATAATTAAAAACCAATGTTTATCATTACCTACTGTGTATCCATGATAGTAGGCTTGTGCGATTTAGAGGATTGATAACAGGGATTTACAGCATACGCAGTTCTTCTTATACATTATTTCTTTTGATGCTGACAACAATTCTTTGAGGCAGATAGGATTGATATTATTATATCCATTTTTAGATCAAGGAACTGAGACACAGAGAGGTTAACTAATTTCCCCGGAGCTACACAGCTAAAGAATAGCAGAGTTGGGATTCAGACCCAGATCTTCTGACTCCAGTTACATTGTGCTGTTTTCATGATACCAGAAGATATCTTTTCTGCTCTCAAAAAGATGATTGTCTAGTAGTTGAGGAGATAAAACTGATAAATATTAAAACAATAAATGCAATTTTAAAGTAACAAGTAATGACCATTTTCTTGTGAGCCTATCTCAGAGCCATCAGTGTTTGAGCATAAAAGGCCAAATGGTCACAATTCTTAAGAAGATCATTTCTTAGCATCAATTGCCAAATTCTCAGCACTCATCACTCTGTTTTGTGGTCCTCTGTTTACTTGTTTGTCTAATTGTAGATGCCTTAATTACCCTTGCATCATAGCACTCATCACTGTGCCTGACACATAGTAGAATCTGTGGAAATGTTTGAGTGAATCAAGGAATAAATAAGTATAACTATGATCTCAACCATCTCAGAATCTCAATTTCTCAGGAGAGGAGCTGAGTATGGGGAAAAATGTCTCCTGGGATCCTAAGGCTGAGATCCTGGATGAGCTTGCACTTCCTCTTTCTGTCCTGAGTTGTCATGTGGATTCTGGGCACATGAACACTGCCATCACCACTCCCCCTCTGTACTACATCTTTCCTATTAGCACTTTAACATGCTGCTATTTGTCATCTTGACCCCTCTTCCCTCTCAGAATCACATGGGTGAATATCACAAGCAAAATCTTGAGACAAAACAAACAAACAAAAAAATCCAGATGCCGAAAGAATACAATGGAATGATTCCCCATTTATTTAAAGTTTAAAAACAGGCAAAGCAAATCTATGCTGTTAGAAGTCTGGAGGGTAGTTGCCTTTGAGGCAGCAGGGAGGGTGGTGAGTAGAAAGGATTCTGGAGTGCTAGTAACGTTCTATTTCTTGATCCGTGTCTGGCTACACAGACTTATTAATTTTATGATAATTAATTGAGCTGACACTTAGGATTTGTACAGTTTTCTCTCTATTTTGGTAAAAAAAAAAAAAAAAAAGATAAAAACAACAACAAAGTGAAACAAACTAAGTCATTGCAATGACCTATAAGGACTGAAATGATCTAACCATTTTTCTCTTTTTGACCTAATTCCTCTAACTCTCTCCCTTGTTCATTTTACTCCAACCTGCCTGGCTGTTCTTTGAACAGTCCAGGACTTTTGCACTTGCAATCCTCTGTGCTTGAAATGCTCTTTTTCCAAGTATCCACGTGGCTCACTCTTTTGCCTCCATACAGTCTTTAATGCAAACATTCCCTCTTAAAGAGGCCTTGGGGAAGTGTGACCACTCTTTTCTCACTGCTAGCAACCCCCACCCACCCTTGTACATCCAGCTGCCTTTGTATTTATTTTTCTCTTATAGTACTTACCATCTAGCATATTTTAGAATTTATGTATTTTTTCCTCTCCTTTCCACTAGAATGTAAGTTCCATGAAGGCAAGGATTTTTGTCTGCTTGTTCACACCTGTGAACATTCTTGAACAGTGCCTAACACATAGTACGTATCTAATGACTATTTGCTGAGTGAACAGACATATCTCCATCTCTTCCCTTGGAGATTCTCTGTTCATGATGTTAAGGTTCAATTCCTCTTAGTAAGGAGTCTGGGCTTACCCAGTGGCCCAAGGGAACTGTTCTTCCCTGGCCTACCACACTCCAATAAGTTCCCTTGCTTTTATAGAATGCAATTATTAGTTTATTAACAAGTCATTCATTCTACTATTTGCTCAGTTCTAAGCTAATTCAATGAATAAAACTTTAGACATCATAGTACTCAGACCAAGTGGTGTAGCATTGGTCTTGGATAGAGGCGGGCCTCCTTTTCTTTTGAAATCAAAAAGAATGAGGATAAAGATCTCAAGAGATTTAGAGGTGAAAGGGGAAGAAGTTGAGACATTTCACTTAGGTAAGCTTCAAAGTTGTTCTAAGAGAAGTAGATCTGATAGGGCCAGGAGGAAGATGGACGAGGCATTTAAAAACTACTATGAGAAATTTGTTAGGAAACTGAGAAGTGATCAATAAATAGGTGTGGAAGCCATGGGGAGGACTTGGTCATGACTGGTTGACAGGCATAATTCATGGAGTCCATATAGTTTTGTGACTTTATCCAATGGTGCTAGCACATGCAGCCCAGGAATAGACGGGAAAAGGTGCTGGGGATTACTCAATACCAGAAATGGTCACAGTAGGGGCAGATATGGCACCAAAGGGTGACAGGTTTCAAGGGAATAGTGACTACTTTGTTGAAATTGCTGGCCAAAAGTCTGAGGGTGGGTGATGTTAGTGAAAATGGCACAGAAAGTAGTTCCAAGGGTCTGTCCATCCACAGAAACATACACACATATGCACACACACACACACAAGGCCAAAAGTCTGAGGGTGGGTGATGTTAGTGAAAATGGCACAGAAAGTAGTTCCAAGGGTCCGTCCATCCACAGAAACATACACACATATGCACACACACACACACAATGAGCAAACACTATCAGAACTGACTTTGTCAGAATTCTGAAAATAGTCAAAGGTTTATAACAATCAAGCAAATAATGAATCAAGAAATGAGGAAACTTAAAAATGGTAGAAGTTTTTAAAAAGTCAAATACATACAAACAGAGAATAAAACAGAGGTTACCATGGCAGGGGAAGGAGTGTGGGGAGGAAATGGGGGTATGTAGGTTAAAGGGTACAAAATTGCAGATGTGTAGGATGAACAAGTGTAAAGCTCTAATTTATAACATGAAGACTATAATTATAATATTATATTGTATACTGGAAATTTGCTAAGAGAGTAAACTTCAGGTGCTCATACCACAGAAAAGCAAAAAAAAGGGTAACCATGCATGATAATGGATATGTTAATTTTCTTAACTATAGTAGCCATTTCACTGTATATCAAAATGTCATGTTGTACACCTTAAATATATACAGTTAAAAATGGTAGGAGGGCTTTGCAGAATATTTACTTGTCCTTGCCCCTATCTCCCCTCCCTGGCTTGGTGGCAGTCACGAAGACAGCAGCCCACATTCACAGTGTGAGACCATGGCTCCTGGTTCCAGGGGGCACACAGCAGACCTTGTTCTGAAAGAATTGTGTTTGTTTTGGCCTATCTGGGTGCCCCATGAAGGACTGATGGAAGACACTTGCCTTTGTTTCACTTAACTCAGCACTCTCAGGTGGAAAAGTGGCTATGCAGATGGCATTCTTTATAAATATTGAAAGAAAAATGAACAGCAACTGCCACCTGATGCAAAACATTACAGTGGAGGCAAACAACATACATGCTGAAAGCCTGGGAGAAGAAAGTTAGGGAAAGAGATTCTTTGGAGAATTAGGGCATTGAAAAGAGCCTGCTTATATGAGCGAATTTAGAAAGCCACATGCATGCCCAGGACAGGATGCATGCTTAGAAAAGTTCTGAGAAGATTCTCAGATTTTACCTATGATTGATATTTATTTTCAGAGCAAGAAGAAAGTCAAGGCTAAGGCAAAGTGGTAAATAGCTTAAATATTGAATGAGTGCCCCAACACAGAGCCAATGTGCAGACAGAGAAAGGGATTTTTTTTCTCCATGTGTTCAGTGGAATATCTGTCAAAACACTGGTTGACCATAAACTAAAAGAAAAGATATCACATGTGACAAAGAATACAAATACCTTACAAAAATAGTTTAGAAAAGTCACTAAGCAAGCAAACACTGCAACCCAGAGCAAGCAACACAAACAAACTCTGAGGAGGGAAAAGAATTTGATTTTACAGAGTTATCACAAATTATAAAGCATGTGAAGAAACAAGAAATTATGACCCATTAGCAGGAGAAATTAACAGAAAGTGTCCCTGGAGAAACACAGAAACTGGTTTTACTACACAAAAAACATTAAATAAGCTATCTTCAATATGCTCAAAGAGCTAAAGAAAACCATGGACAAAGGACTAAAGGAAATCAGGATGAGGCTATATGAACAAAATGAGAATATCAAAAAAGAGAGAGAAATTATAACAAAGAACCAAAGAGAAATTCTGGAACTGAAAATGTAATATCTGAAATAAAAAATTTACTAAAGGATTTCGACAGCAGATTTAAGTAGGCAGAAGAAAGAATTATCTAATTTGAACCTAGGTCAATTAAAATTAGCCAGTCTGAGGAGCAGAAAGAAAAAGGAGTGAAGAAAAATGTACAAAGCCTAAGAGACCTGTGGGACACCATCAAATGTACTAACATAACAAAACTGATTGATTGAAAGGAAAGAGAAAAAGGGGCAGAAATAATATCTGAAGAGATAATGGCCAAAAACTTCCTAAATTTGATCAAAGACATGAATTTATACATTTAAGAAAGTTGAT